CTCTCTCTCTCTCTCACACACACACACACACACACACACACACTCCTTGTGGATTTTTTTTTAAAAATGTTCATTGTTAAAGATGAAAATTTGAAAAAGGACTGCAGCTGAAGCTGATTTGTTAAAACTGTTCTCTGTGTCTCAATTCTTAATGATTTCACCTTGAACGTGTCTGGGTTGGTGAAGGTTGTATACAGCACTTAGCAAAGGTTTATGTTACCAACTTGGGGTGGTAACACAGCCTGGTGAGGATGAATTTTTTAGTTATGGTTTAGTGTTACATGCAGGAGCCTTGGGCTCCATTTTCAGGTGATGGGAGTGTTTGTATATGTGCTTTGATGGGTTCTGGGTAATTACAATGAGGGCCACATTACAGCCCATGCTTCAAAAGAAAGTGAAACACAAAGAAAAGGGAGAAACTAATGAGCCCAAGACATGATGCCCATCCACAGTTTAGTGTTACATCTAAATGAGGGTTATTTAAAAAGCATTTTACTTGATTCTTTAGCAAAAAGGCCCTCCAAATGCCAGTATAAGACAGACCCTGTCCTTAGGTGTACATTCTGAAAAACACGATATGCAAGGAATAAGGCTGGGGAGAGATGAAGAAAAAAGCAAGCTCAGGCACCAGTTTAAACACATGACCTCCTTTGATGCAAGTAAGTCTGCTGCAGTGGCTGCCACCTGGGTGACAGTGTGGGAAGACCAAAGGCAGCTAGTCTCTCAGGAGGGGAATTGCAATAGCCCCGCTTCCCTTCTCTCCCTCTTCCAAACACTTCTGGGATTTTCACTTCAGTATGCAAGATTGCAAAATGATATTGAATATCTCTTAAGTCACCAACAGAGACACTAACCTCTCTTCCTCCTCATTTCTGTATATAATGCTTCTTAATCTATCAAACTACCCTTCAGACAAGCACTTCTGGATCCCAGAAGGGTGTAGCTAATCACTGGAAAGTATATATTTTGGCTTCTGCCTTCAGCTGCTCTGTTATGAATCAAAGTGTCTGGTGGCAGATATAGGAACAGAGAGGGTGGGGTAGTTGAGGTGTGGAATTTGCTGTCCCGGAATGATCTTAGAGGTTATCTTCCACATTAAAGCCACACAGTCTTAAGGTGTTACATGTATATCAATTTTTTTCTTGTTGCCAGTGTACCTTGATCAGATGGCATTTCTACGACAGTAAGCAATAAATCAGATAGGCTGTGATCTTCCAATTAAAGTGCTTTGCAACCTCGTGTTCCTTTTTGGGGTGGAGGGGTGGAGTTAAAGTTGTAGATTTGTGGTTCCTGAAATGAGGGTGTAGAAAGTTTTGTTTTAGTGACATACAGTTCATGACTTCCTGGCATTCAGTGATGTACACAAGATTGCATGCCCTGCAGGTGATGTTTTGTTTGATGTTCAATCAATATCTTGTTTGATGTTCAATGAGGGCATGCAGTGTTAAAACAACTGTCCTGTACATGTTTAAAAGTAAATGCATTTTTGGGAATACTTTTTTTAGAAACATCCCATTAACTAGAATTAGAAATCTGAGGAAATATTCTGAATTATGGTAGTATCACCCTTGAAGATTATTCTTTTGTCAGAACGCACTAATTCTCCTTCAGACAAAAGTTTGAGTTTGACACTTCTTTCCACCCCCTCCCCTTCAGACCATGGATTCCGTTTTTGCATTAAAAAGAGACACCCCCTCCCCCAATAAACCCTTTTTGGTCTTCTCCATGCCCTAAAAGCCAACAGAACTGTGTGATTATCTGTCATAAACACATTTTCTAGTTGGAACTCTTTGTAGGGCTTTGTTTGCTCAGGTTAATGAGCCATGGACATAGTCCCCACTCACCCAAGTGCTCCCCAAGATGAATTTAATGCATTTATTATATACTCTGACCAGTGCTATTTGTGTGTAGCACTGGCACACCAGCAATTGCTGTCCTGGGTGGAAGGCCATTGGCATGCTGGAACTGTAGACAAGGGAGCCAGTGCACATGGTAAAGACATTTACATGTAACAGGTTGTATGTGTAACACTTAGCATGTGGTCCTGGAAGGCTTAGAGGACACGACATTAAGGAAGCTGAGGAAGTGTTACTGTCTCTCTTCAACAAGAACGGCATTAAGATATGGTGAAGTTGAGCACCACCTAGCAGAGGTAGCCTTTCCATGAGATGGGGATAAATCCCCACTCAGGCAGGGGATCCTAAAGGGCAAGAAACCTCACAGCATGGCCTGCTTTGTACCTTGGAAAGCCAAGCAGGCTAATCTGCTGCTGCCATTGAAGTAGCTGGAGGTCCACCCACCTGATTGCCTGCTTTGTGAACCCTGCAAAGGTGGTATCAGTGAGGTTAGACCCTCCAGGAAGCCCTGCCAGCCACTCTGAAGAGAGGCGAGTCAGCGCAGCCCTCCAGGGAGCTTGATCCAAATGCTTCGCTGTAAGGGGTCCCTTCTGCTGCCATGGCATAGGCAGCCACGGGGCCTCCCCTGCCCCACAGTGATCCACTCGCAAGAAGGATGCCTCATAGTGAGGCAGTGTGGGGCTAGAATCGCATGAGCAGCTTATGAAGGTAATTATGGTAATTCGGCAACACATAACCCACCCACGGGGCATGGGAAAGTGACCCTTCCCCAGTCATGTGAAGCCACCCGGTGTCTTACTCATGAGTTTAATGGTGTAAAGTTTAAAGCATGAGTGGTCTGGATCAATCCAATGATTAGTGTGGATCTGAATCAGTAGCTTCTACACTTCCTGAAATCAGTCGATTCCACACAGCTGTAATCAGGACAGATCTCAGGCTCTCCACTCCTCCAGCAGAGGCTGCTCACACATCAGAGGAGAGCTGATGCCGTCAAAACTGAAGGAGACCCAAGCGAGGCCTGATGCAACTCCAGTGAAACCTAATTTTGTACCAGGGCGTTGCTAGCAATTCTTTTGGAAGGAAGGAGACTTTTCATTAAGTGGCAAACTGCCCCCCCCCCCAAAAAAAAAACCCTGGATTCCTTTGTCCTGCAATACTTCCATGAATTTTTGTACACATGGCTTGCTTTTGTGAATAGAAATGTTACAATTTAAAATTTGAGTGTTTTCTTTACAAGCCAATAATGGTCAAAGCATTTTCCAGCTATCAGGGTGACAATCTAGTGAAAGAAAGGACAGAAGAGATTAATCATCTGCCTCTGTACCTGTACTGATTGGTTATTTATTTCAGATATGTGTATTGCTACCGCAATTTCTCTTCTCATGATTCTCATCTGTGCCATGGCCACGTACGGTGCATATAAGGTAATGTGTGATTTCTGGCCTCTTCTCCTTTTCTAAATTACTCTGCCTTAAAATAAATCAGAATGAGTCTTGATGAAACTAAAGAGGTTCACGGGAAATAATTTTACTGCTACCTGTAATGTATCAGTCACACAAAATTACCACGAGGCTGCCACTGACAGTGGAATCTTCATGGCATTTGATGCCAACTGTGTATATCATGGTCATGCGTGCATACGGAGAGGGTATAATCTAGAACTCCTGAACAGGTAGACAACATCACTGGCAGAGTGTAAAAGCCCTACATCAGCACTAGGGAATCTCAGGCCCATGAAACCAATTTGGTTCTCCTGGAGTCTCAGACCAGCCCCCCACTTGCTCTTTACCTGGCTTGAACCTCTCTACCCAACTGCTCATCCATTCCTTGTTTCCACGTTTTTGTGCAGCCAACTTCTTATTTTAACATATTTAATGCTTCCCCCGAGACTTAGTCATTGGTGGTGGGAACTATGAGCTAAAAGGCACTGTTACTTTTAGATTCCGGGTCCTGGCCCACCTACTACCAGAATGCAGCCCACAAGTACCTTTCCGAAACTGAATTTGACCCTTGGGCTGAAAAAGGTCGCACCTCCCTGCATTATGTATTTGCAGCCATGAGGGTGGTGCTACGGCCTCAGTGATACAGTGGAGAATCTGCAGGAAGCAGAGGGAAACCACGGGGGCGGAGGAGGTGTTCCCACGGCTGTCGTCATGCCTGCTCTAATTCACCAAGGTCTTTTCTTGGGACCAGGGCATGACTGTATCCACATTTTCACAAATATCTCAGGGAAGTGCGATTCCAATAATTTTGTCGACTATACAAAATATTAAATTGAACCGAAGCTGCAACCTGTCTGGTATGTACCTACCCTTATTACAGTTGTATCCCAGTTCTCAGTGTTTGCAGCAGTGTCTGCCCATTATGTCATTACTGAGTTGTATCCAGTGTTAGTCTGTTCATTTCAATGGGTCTACCGTAGATAGAGCCAACACCAGCTAAACCCCTATAGCACTATGGTTTGCCTCTGGCAGGCATATATGTTGGCATGACCCGTCCCAAACAGAGACACAGTAAATTAAAGAACTGTACGAATTGTGAACAACCCCCTTTGGTTAACTCCAGCTGAACCACTTTTTCCACTTAGGTATCTTAGGCACTGAAAGGGTGAGGAAATACCTATTCCTAGATTCTGAGCATATACAACACTTTATATTTTTAAAAGTGTTGGTTTTGACTGGGGAAATAAGGGTTTAAGTATTGTTTTGTAGTCCAGCTGTGGATGAGAGTATCTCGTTTTTTTCAAACAATCTGTTCCATCCTACTTGTCACGTAGATTAAATGCCGAGGATAGTAACTGGGAGTGTATCCTGTGGAGACACAAACAACCCATCTATATTCATTTCACTCAACTTCTGGTTTTTCTAGGCCATGAGGAAAATGTAAGGCCCAGATTGCCCTTCCTTGATGCAGATGCACCAGAGGAACATGTGAGGTGCTTTCACCAATCCCCCCACCACCGACCCACAGCATCCAGCACCACTTAATTCATTAATTATTATTGCATTTATTCCACTCTTTTTAATTTATTTATTTTTATTTATGTGTTTACGGTTTTTGTATGCCGTCTCAATTACTAAAAAAGTCTCTGGGTGGCTTACAGAGCAAACCAAAAAACAGAACCCATAATAATGACCCTCCCCCCCACAAAAAACCCCAAGGCAGCTTATATGATCCTCTTCTCCATTTTATCCCCGCAAGAACCCTGTGAGGTAAATTCAGCTGAAAGACAGTGTCTGGCCCCAAGTCGCTCAGAGATCTTGACTGGGGACTACAACCCGGATCTCCACATCCCTGCCCAACACTCTAACTGCCACACCAGTTCTATAAGTTGTTCTGGAAGGTGCCCTGGCCCTCTGAAGCACATTTATAGGAGACCTCAGGAAAAGATGGAATCAGTGAAAACTGCCTCCCATCTTTCTCCAGTGAGAAACTCCCATGGGAAGAACTCCACCCATGTGCAATCCAGATCTAGCCCATTGATCTACTTGGTATCTCCTTGTTTTTAAGTTGGACTCACTTTGAACTATTTTGGAATAGTGGTAAAAATGTGTTACATTTCTAGACCATTAAGATGTTCTTCTCTTCTGTTTTAATATGCAGCAACATGCAGCTTGGATCATCCCCTTCTTCTGTTACCAAATCTTTGATTTTGCACTCAACACCTTGGTTGCTATCAGCATCCTTGTTTATCCAAACACAGTTCAGGATTACTTGAGGCAACTGGTAAGACATTTCTTATTCACTATTTTATTTATTCACTAGTGAAAGTACCTGGATTTGCACAAGATGGAATAGTCCAAGTAAGACTAAGAGAATGATCCTATGGCCTAGTTGGCACTGGGGCATCATAACTTTTTTTAAAATATTATTATTCCCAGCTCTGTGGTTGGAGACAGCATTCAGACTTTGGAGCTGGGAACTGGAGTTGCTGCTCCCTTCCTGCTCACAACTGGAACGAACCAGGTCTGCTGCTCTCTGGGGTTGAGGGATGAAAGTGGGTGTTGTGGGGACAGGAAAGAGAGAAGACTGACTGGGGCAAGGATGCAAGGTATCCTGAAGCTGCTGCTGCCTCCTTCTCTCCCTCTCTGATTCACCCCAGCTAGATCACATCCACTGCTCTTCCTACTCTGCACTGAGTACCCATAAGATGCCTAGTTTGGAGGCTTATGAGCATCCTCCTAGGACTGCACCCTAAATCTGGACCCAGTCCAATATTTAAAGCCATAGCAATTGATGCTGATCCTATATGACTTAGCTTAGAGAAAGCAAGGGGCAAGACCCAGGCAAGGTTTGGATGAGGCATGGCTACTGTATCTGCTTTCACAAAAAGGCTGGGCCTTTTCACACACTGCTTCTATGGGGATTAGAAGCATAGAAACAGACCGAGCCAGAAGGGGCCTCCCAGGCCATCCAGTCTGGAGTTGGATGCCAAGATAGCTAGAGGGCACCAGCCGGCTCCACTCACGACGTGCCCACCATGTGCATGTCCAGCCTATCCTTGAACACCTGCACCAATGGGGCCTCAACCACCTCTCATGGAAGCCCATTGCACACCCTCGGGGTCCTGACTGTCAGAAAGTGCTTCCTGGCATCCAAATGGAACCTTGGCTCCCTGAGCTTTGCTCCATTGGAGCGCGTCCTGCCTTCCTCTGCAGGGGAGAACAGGTCTCTACCCATCTCCATGTGACATCCCCTCACATACCTGTATGTCGCCAACATATCCCCTCTGAGTTTCCTCTTCTGCAGGCTGAAGAGACCCAGTTCCCTCAGTCTCGCCTCATACCCCATCCCCTGCAAACCGGCCACCAACCTTGTGGCCCTACGCTGAACTGATTCTAACCTGGCTATATTTTTTCTGTAATGAGGGGCCCAAAACTGAGCACAATACTCCAGTTGCAGGCACACCAGAGTCGTAGAGTGGTAGTAATACCTCTCTTGATCTAGAAGCCACACTTCTGGCTATGCAACCAAGGGTGGCGTTCACCCTCTTGACCACTGCATCACACTGCTGACTCATGTTTAGCTTGCAGTCAACCAGTACCCCAAGGTCCCTTTCACAAGGCTGCTCTCCAGCCACTTGTCACTTAACCTGTTCTTATGACAGCTATTCCTATGCTCCAAGTGCAAGACCTTGCACTTATTCACATTGAACGCCATCCTGTTGTCTCCTGCCCACTTCCAGCTTCCAGATTGAAAGCTTATGCCAGGTGCAGGCAACCTGGTGCCCTCCAGCTATCTTGGCATGCAACTCCCAGCCTCAGCCAATCTGGGCAATGCCAAGGAGAATAGCAGTTATTCTCCAAAGCATCTGGAGGGCACCAGGGTGCTTCCACCCTGATGCATATAAAGCCATTGTTGGTCAACGTGTTCCCTTTCTCTGCATCCACAACATCCAGCTTATGACCTGAAAGTGGCAAGAGGCACATTCAGTTTTGTTTTGTAGTACTTACATTGTCATAGTTTTATACCTAAAATGTACCATATACATTTAAAATAATTTCAAAATAAGCCTGTCATGTGGAAGTTTCCTTTCTGTAAATATGAATGACTTGTGTTTCATCTGATGCTTGGAGATTTACAGATTCACTACTTTTACAGAGGATGCAGACACCAAGAACTGTGTTAGTGGCATTAATACTGTAGCTCTCCAGAGATGGTTTGATCGGTTGTTGCATCCATCACATGGGGAAGTACAAACCATATAAATGAGTATATAGAAAGCTGCCATTCGCAGGGCAGACTGTTGGTCCTAAAAATCACTACTGGCTTCTCTGACTGGTGGTGGCCCCCAGGGTCTTCTGCAGGGTCCTCATCATCTGTTCTGATCATGCATAAGTCAGGAAGTTGGATTGAATCAGAGGTGGGGATCCTCAGCCTTTGAGTGAAGTCCAGCTGTTTGGAGTTCCCCTGATGCTCAGTCCCTTTCTGAACCACTGATCATTTATTGGTTTCCATACTCTTGTGCAGTTCCCCCATCCCCATTTTAGAATATTTAAATGCCTCTAATTACTGGCAGGAAGGGCTTTACGCTAAAATATGCTAGCGGGTGTGCCTGTGATTTTGGCCCCAGCCTTTTGCTTTAATATAACCGAGCTGAAGAAATTGTCCCGGTACTTATACAGCACTTCCCACAACATTCACTGCAATAATTATTCCTTCATGTGTTTTACATGTGGACCTATTGCACATCTGGACTGCCCAAATGTCCAGCTGCAAGTAATTCATAGGTTCATCTGCAATATAGATTAAGACTTGCTGTTTTGTTTTTTCCTTGTCCCAGCCAGATCCTTGGCAATTGTTTCATCTTCTTGAAGTCTGAATTTGGTGCAAGGATTGTTATTTCATACACAGAACACACAGACCCTTGCATAAAGAATGTGGGATCTTGGCAGTAGATCTACGTGGATGGTAGAAGTCCTGCTGAGCCCCATGGGATACACAAATAATGTTTTTTAACTGATCTTTTTCAGCACCTTGCTGAGTTTCTCCTTCTGTTATTTTCTGTGCCATGTCAGATTAATTTACAACTTAACTGTATTTCTTCTCATATGGTTTGCTAGTGGCAAGATTAGAACAGCAACCTTCAGGACATACACCGCCCCCCTTCTCACACACGCACACACGGAGGGAGGGAGGGAGAATTTTCACATAATCTTGCTGACAAGTCAACAATAACCAAAAAGAAGCATTCTTACAACTTATCCCACACACACACACCTGCCACTTGAGCTATCAATCAAATCCCTTTATGTCTCCTACAAAGTTTGAAGATGTTTTCTAACACCGCATCTTAGGATCAGTGGTCTCCAAGCAGAGAAACATGTTAATCTTGTCTTGTTTGTGAGCTTCCTGTTGGGCTGGCTACTGTGCAGACAGAATTCTGAACTAGATGGGCCTTTGGTCTGATCCAGCACAGTTCTGCTTATGTCCTTATGAGCCCTGAAGTTTGAAAGTAGTGGGAAAGCCCAAATTCAACGCTTAGAGTATTTGACAAGTATCTCTGAGAAACTCTGTGCTTGTAAACAGTCAAGTGTGCAAAAACAATCCGGAGGCTGCTGTGTTAGTTTTTAAAGAAGTTCTCAGGGGACTCATACCCTTGTCTGAAGTTGCCTTTCTTAAATAACCAAGCTGGTCCTCCCAGTCTTATACACTGGGAAATAACGAGCGAATCCTACCCTTGCCTTTTTTCTGTCCTCTTGGCAGGAATCCAACAAGGCATGGGAAATGTTGGAACATTAAACAATAGGTTTATCCTATTCATCAGCAAAAACTCAAATGATTGACTAAGATTTCTTTGGTTGGCAAAAAAAAAATCACAGTATATATGTCTTTAGTATATATGTTTTTTCTGCCGCTGTTACTTGCTATTGATTCTATATGTTGAACACAAGAGCCTCACTTCCTGGCTGATAAGAGAAGAATTAATGTGCGTCTGGAATGCTTCATATTTATAAGAACTCTTGTATACTATCTCATGTTACTTTCTGAAAAGATATGGCTGCATCCTCAGGAAGCATATCCACATCTGAAAAGTTAGAAAACTGCAATAAACAGAACCATTATCTCAGAGAGAAAAAATAAGGAGACAATCTGGAAACAATTCCAGATTTGAGTTCTTCTTCATCTAAGATACTTATGGATTGTTGTTAATGTGTAAGAAAAATTACCAGAAATGTAGGAAAATGGTTGTGTGTTAACATTCCCTTCAAAGTTTTATTCTCTTTTTTAATGCAAAGTATGCATTCCTTTTCCTGTCTTTGTGCTAGGGTTTCCAGGCTTCATTTGTCTGCAGGTCAGCCTTCTCTACCCTGGTGCCCTCCAGAAGTTTTAGACTGTAACACTCATCATTCCTGACCATTGGCCATATTGACTGGGGATGATGGGAGTGCAAAGCAAAAGCAACTGGAACAGAGCCAGGTTCAGAAAGCCTGTCCTATATGCTAGTGAAATGAGCATCTGCAAACTCCTTTTACAGAGCAGAGTGATTGGCTAGTCCTGTAAAAGCCAAGCTAGTCCATGTTAGAGTTTCTGTCTTTCAGTCCGTCCTTGAACTAACTGAAGGACCAGCATCCACCCTTTCCCTCCCACTCTGTCATCTGCTCTTCAGATGTCATGTCCTTTTGAAAAAATGGTTGTTATGATTTTATTCTTATTGGAGAGATCTACCATGCCTTTCCTCCACAGAACACAAGGTAGTGGGCTTGGGGCTTCTGGACAGTGTCCCATCCAGACACTGGCAAAACCCAGACATGTTTAGTTCCAGCAAAGTAGCTTCAGAAGAGCTGTAAGAGATCTGGTGCTCTCCAGATCTTTTGAACTACAGCTCCCATTAACACAGCCAATCACCCCTGTTGTTAAAGGATCAGGAAAGTTCTCATTCAGTGCTTCTGAGAGTCATAGAAACAGAGTCAGAAGGGGCCTCCTGGGCTATCTAGTCTGACCCCTGGCTCCACCCAACTCTGCACATGACATGCCTACCATGTGCATGTCTAGTCTGTCCTTGAACACCCTCACCGATGGGGCCTCAACCACCTCCCGTGGAAGCCCATTCCATACCCTTGGGGTCCTAACTGTCAGGAAGTACTTCCTGGCATCCAAACTGAACCTTGGCTCTGTTGGAGCGCGTCCTGCCTTCCTCTGAAGGGGAGAACAGGTCTCTACCTACCTCCATGTGACACGCCCTCACGTACCTATAAGTTGCCAACTATATGTCGCCAACCTGTCGTCACCATGCATCTACCTCTGCTTCAGAATATGTCTGGTAGTAAAGCATGACTTAAGTGTACCAAGTTTGGAAATCTCAGTTGTGCCTTTCCAGTGTGGTATGGAGTGATTGCACAAAGCTTAACACATGGTTTACCATACTGGATTTGTGTAGTTGAGCTGCAGCTTGGATTTCAAATTCACACATCCTTAACACAATCTGTCCCAGTGTGATGACATCTAGTGTGTCAGAAACTAGTGAAGGATTTTAATTAACAGATGAAGAGTTGCCAGAGTGGTAGAGGGGAATGACAGGATACTTATGATTTAATGCTGTGTTTTAAAAAAGAAGAGAATAACAAAGGTTATCTGCTTTCTAGTGAAAGCAGCTATGTATTTACAACAAAGCTACAAGCAGTCAAATACTAAGTTCATCACAAGAACAGAATTTTGTTTAAATAAAGAAAAGATAGTTGCATAACATTTATCTTCAATCTGTTACACACCATCTGGTGAGATGAAACAATCAGAACGCTTCAGTGAAATTTCAGATAAATAAAATGTCTCGCCAGCAGCTTGCAACAAAGAAATTCATGCAGAAGAGTATATTTCTCTTAATTTATGACTGACTGAATGAATCAAATAATAATGTCCCTTCCCAAATAATTCTGGCCTTAGAATGTCTAGCTAGGAAAGGGAGCTCTGTTAACTGAAAATTTAATTGGAAAGAGCCTTTGTGGTCTCTGTAAAAACAAAAAGAAATACATCAAGCTTTAATAAATATGTATTTCATATTCCATCTTGTTGTCAAGGTAGTCAGCATGAAATAGATGTTTCTCATTTTCATTTGACCCACCCAACAACCTTGGGAACTAGGTTTTGCTGAGGTATAGTTACTGGTCCAAGGTCTTCCTGGTTGAGCAGGGATTGTGACTCCGGTCTCCCCAGTTTTAGTCTAGCACTCTAACCACTGCATCCCACCGAGTCTTGTATTGTTAATACAGCATTACTTTGTATGATGCATACATGTAATACTGGAGTGTAAGCAAAGCAAAAGAACTCTGTGTGCCTTAGCGCATCCTTCTGCAAGCTGGTGTCCTCCAGATGTGTCCAACTGGGACTGATGGGAAGTCCAATGCATCTGGAAAGCACCTCACCAGGGGAGCTAGTTTGTTAGAGCCCCTTGCATTAAATGTTAATGTATGGAACAAGTTTGCGTTTATTTTGTTGAAACTGTATTTGTGTTTCAGATGCAGAGTATTTGCTACAGCAGGAGTAGGCTATGATTTTTAGCCCAATGGACACATTTTGCAATTTGAGGAGAAGCACCAACTGGCAGCCACCTGCTTTCTTCATTTCCTAAGAATGTCTCTGAGCCTTCACGTGTAGCCCAGAGGTATTTATGGGAAAAGAAGAGAGAAGCAAGAGACCATGCATTTGAGTGTGTGACTTCCTTTAATAATTTGTGAACTCTGAGTGAGCTTCCCCAGCTAATTTCTCGTACAGTTCTGAAAAGTATTCTTCCTGCTTGGTATGGTGGCCAGTGTGTCCTTGCTTCATTACTTGCTTGCCACACCCAGATGGACATGTAGGAAACTGGAGCTTGGTTTCCATATCTGCCTTCGTAGAAATCTGGTTCACTGCACAGAACTTCACAGATTGCCTTGAGCAACCTGACCTCCTGCCACACAAGGATACTTTGAGATTTAGAATGACCACTCTGAGCTTCATAGGATACAAACACAGCAAATAGACTCTGTCTTTGCATGTAAAAATATTGAACAGCAAGGAAGTGTTCACACTTTGATGATTTTTAACAACGTGCATATTGTCTTTTTGTAGCCAGCAAATTTTCCTTACAAGGAAGAAATTATGTCTGTGAATTCAACCTGCCTACTAGTCATTATTCTTCTTTTTATCAGTATCACCCTGGCTTTTAAGGTAAGCATGCACTCATCAAAATTGACTTAAGAATTTGTTGGATATTTAAAATAATCTGTCTCCTGTATAGTGGTGTTTGTGAACTGGAGAAGACAGAAACAAGCAAGTGCCATGATATATATTACTTAAAAACATTGGATTCTGTTTTGGAGGGTGGTGGAATCAAGCATTTGCTCAGGTTGTAGGCTGACAATAGGGCCAGTGCCTGAACAGTACCCTCATGCTCTCATTGCACAGAAGGACCAATACATTTGGTGATGAGTTAGCATCCCCAGCCTCTGCCTGAGAAGGGGACCCTGTGACCCTGTCTGTGCCCCCACCCTGAACATGGTCCTGACTAACTGAAAGAAGAGGGTTGTATAATGGAATGGACAGGTTTTATGAAGGAGTGCATGAGAAATCTTTCTTAGTCAAACACATATAGAATCTGGAGGTCTCAACAGGCCAGATCATATACTGTATGATGGGAAAACAGGCTTTCTTGCCTCATGAACAAGGCTGCATGTACTTAGGTCTATGTACTTCCCTGCTGCTCTTCCATGGCCACAAGGTGGGGATCAGAAGCCTTTGTTTCTGTTTTTAAATACATTACAGTTTCCCATTATTCCAGGCAATTCATGGACCTGCAGGGTTCTTTGTTAGAACAAGGCAGCGTCACATCAAATGGGGGTGGTTTCAAAACTGTGGTTTATCGAAAGCACAGATCCCTAAATTCACCTATGTTTTTTTCAAGCCGAGCATTATGGGAAATGTTCGGGAAACAGGACTACACATGCCTAAAATAATCCATTCTTTTTTTCTTGCTGTAAGCCTGGTGTGGCAGGAAAGCTACTGCACGCTGTCTCTCAGGGAGGGACGGGACCGGGAAGGAACAAGGGCCGGGTAAGCTAAGTGGGAAGAGCCAGATACAATTCTTACCCATTTGGACATTTTCTCACCAAGCATTCAAAATACAGTGCCAGGCCTAAGCAAATCTACTCAGGAGTAAGCTCCAGCAAAGAAGTTGTCTTGCATGTAAAATGCACTCCTGCCTGTAAAGTGTAGCTCAGTTCTTTGCAGGGTATCTTAAAAGTCTTTAAATGTCTTCTCATCTCTGGTCACAGAGAGGAGACTGAAAAGCTGCAAAAAAAGTTTAAAGACAGATGGGAAAACTCGAGAGGTGAGGTCTGAATCCCCTCCACAAGCTGCAGTTTCTCCATTCCTCTTCTGTAGAAGGTGCCACTGATCTGCAAATCAGTCAAACTTGTATGAGAGTCCCATTTATTTCAGATGAGTTAAACTGGCTTAAATAAAGTTTGCTCAGTTGACTGGTTTTGCTGTTCAGGCTGAAAGTAGGTCAATATTATCTCATTTATTGGACTAAGCTTTGGTTTTGGAGATGGAAAACCCTTCAGCAGACAAAAATGGGCTAAGTGACTAAATGGACTAAAATCGGCCAAGCTTTGGCGTGTGTAGGGTAGATGGACTTTGGTCTATTTGTCCATTATAATGTCTCTTCTCACTGTAGCATTCTTCAGTAACATGCGAAGTGAGAAGTACACATTTAATGCAGAAGTCCAACCAACACTGGCATATAAATGTTGAATTCTTTGTGTTTTACATCAAGCCAAGACTGGCTTTGAAGATTTGCATCAGGAAAAGAAAGCTACAGCCAAGTACAGTGTGTTATTCACCACTGGCAGAGATGCCATATAGTGCTAGTTCCAATTATTGCAATGAAATTCTGTTACACTTTTATATTTCTGAACTCATTTCCCTATTACTAATAAAGACAGAAATAAATGGAAGAGGTAGTGTGGCATAATCTAAGACATCATAGATCACGAGCCTTTCCCAAGCTGGGGCTGTCCAGGCATGTGGGACGGTGACTGGATGCAACAATAAGCTGACACCCTTGAGGCAGACTGTGGAAGAAAGCCAGAACGGCAACTCTGGGAAATGTTCCAGCAGAACTAAAGCTGGAAATGAGACAATCATTTTTTTAAAAAGAGTTAAAAGGTGGGCTGCATTGTGGAAAAACACATATTAGTGCACTGCTGTGGCTAATCAAATAGATATTTCTGGCTTTGTTTGTTTGTTTTAAGAAGATGAAGACTTTACAAATCTGCTAATTCAAGGGGAAAATGAGATGAATGTCTACACAATGAACAGTGGTCCTCTTCTTCTAGAAAAATATTACTCCTTGTATCCTCAGCTGATAGTCTGATCAGCTTAATTTGCCTTTAGGTCTTCTGTACTTTGCAAACATGAACTCCATCTGAAGCCAAAACAACAACATCCACACACGCCCCCAAAAAATCTGTATCAGAAAACACACACACACATATATTTACCTTTAAACAAATTCAACTTTTCTAAGTGGGACTTACTTCTGAATAGACCTGGATATGATTATGCAAAATCCATTGAATTCAGCAGGATTTACTTCTGAGCAGAGATGCATAGGATTGCACCAGTGGCTTCTTTTCTAGGATATATTTTCTAAATAGTGCCTGTTGCATGTATGGAATAAATCATTTGAAGAAGCCCAGGTGTGTAAATGGAGCACAACTCTATTGTACATCTGAAATGTCCCAATGACAGGGAAGATCGAAAGATGTTGTCCGGCCCTCGGCCAGATGGGCACAGGCATGACTGCAGCCTCATTCTGTTTTCACCTGGAGCGGCCTTCCTTAACATGGCACTCTCCAGGCGTGGGTCCATGTGACTTCCAGCCCATCTAGCCAGCAGGTGCTGGAAATTGTGGCCCAACACATCAGGAGTATACCAGATTGAGGAAGATGCTTGCTGTCAGGTGTGTGAGTGCTGGACTGGAAGAACCTTTGGTCTGATTCAACATGGCTTCTCTTATATTTTTATTTTCTTCTACTTTCTTTGGACTTTGGCCGTTATGTCATGTACAATGGCTTAATGTTCCATGTATACTTGCATTGATGTGGATCTTTCTTAGTACTTAAGCATTTAGGAGATATTTTTGTTTCCAATAGCAAAACTGTGAAATATTTTCCTTATTTTATATTCTGTTGTTACCTGTCAGTATTCAGTTTTGAAGATTTTGATGATGGAATATGCTAAGGATATATTTAGTTGGCCATTGTGGAAGCAATGGGTTTGCTGAGTACCAGACAGACTTTCAGTACACGGCTGGAAGGTGGGTGACGAGGCAGTGTTCATCTTGGTAGCTCAGAAATTAAGGAAGCTTTTGAACCACTTTGCCATGCTCTTCACTCAAAATCCTTACCATTATTCCATTTTTCAACATTCTGTCCCATCCATTATCCTCCTGGCTTTTCATTCTTTTTCTTTTCACGAAAACCATTGCTACGTTTTAGTTTTGTGTTATAACTTTATTATTTATATTTACTATTCACTACCCCGAAATCTATTGGTTGAAGGACATGTTAACTACAGATGTGTTAAATAAATAATACGCTGTTCCCCTTTCTATTTACACATAATTTTAAAGCAATTTGAAGATAGTTGTCACCTATCTCCACACCAGAGCCACTAATCCTACTTCTCTGTGTTCTCCTAAACACTTAGTTTTCAGTCCTTGCATAATTTGAATTCCAATAACATAATCATGATCATGGTTCTTAACTTTTCAATATGCAGTTTGGCCCAAATTTGACATGCTGGTGGAAGATCGTATCCACCCTGCCCAAAGATGATTGATATAATGCTTTTGCTAGCACAGACTGAAATAGGATTAGGTTTCTTTGCATCCATATAGCATTGCTGACTCAATCCATTTGTGGGGAAGTTTAATCCCCAGCTCATTTTCTCCACATGGCTATTTTTAAGCCACTTACTCCCTCTATTTTATTCTTGGTTGGTTTTTCATTCCTCCCAATCTCCTCCAGTTTACTGTCGTCAGCAAATGTCATGAACCACGTATCTGTTTTGAATGAGTAAAAGTGGTCAATTCCTATGGAATCCTGCCAGGAAGGAAAAAGAATCATATGTATTCAGGGAGCGGGCAGGGAACATCCATCCTCTTTAAAGTATGTCTAGATTAGTTTTATTAAAGATAAATTTTAGTTTTGTCACTGTTTATAAGCTGAAGGTTGAAGCCCCAGTCCATGTTAGTAGCCCTTTAAAGCCTTGTGAAACCAAACCACTGGATCCTATTAATCTTTGGCAGGCAGTCCAGCACTGCTTTGTGGTTTTCTGCACATGGAGAGCTTTTATATTTGGCTATCTTTACTTTCTTCTGCTGCATTTTTAATACCTCCACCAGATTTCATCTGCTTCAAGTAAGATGAGATTACTCTTCCCCCACCCCTTTTCTACATTAATTGTCAGGACTCAGAAGCAGCTGACAAAATGTTTGGCTAATCCATCTTGTATATTCATGGCATATATGAGATTAGTATAATCTTCCAGTCAAAAAGGGAAGATGCTGGTAAAACCCTGTAACTTTTAAATTGGTGTTCCAGGGCTTTTTCTTCATTCCCTTAAGAGAGAGCTTGCTAGTTCAGTTTAGAATGGAATGTACAGACATTCAGAGCATTTTGAAAATAAAGAACTAAAAGGCCAAGGAATGTCAGTGTGCAGAAGCGTCATTTTTTTCCTTTAAGTAACCCAAAGAGGGCCTCTGCACATAATACACAGAGGGGAGGCTCAGTCATAATGGTAAACCATGTTGTTGGCCGAAAGGTCCTTGTCCTGGTGTGCATATGCCCAAAATACACCACAGGAAAAGTTTTCTTTTAAAGGATTTATTCCCAAGAATAACTGACTACCAACTAATCATTCTAGATGGCGTACCTGAGCAGTCTTCAGTTGGCTCTTTTATACATTGATCATTAGAGAGTTACACATAACACAGTTAACACTTTCCAATAGGTTACAAAAGTAAAAATGGCGTGATGGTGTGATCTTTCCCACTTGCATCCCAAAGAAGATGCTCTGAAGGAGAGGGGAGGATGGGGTGCTATTCCAGACAAGAGGAGGAGAACAGGGTGGGCTGGTGTGAATTGCCTTTGTTTGTGCTGCTGTTATCTGTCTAGTGCCAACTAGCTTTCTCTGGACTGGTGCCTGCTCAGTGTCAGCTCCATTTCAAGGAAACACACATGCTGATTTCTAGAAAAGAGGGCTTTTCTCAGGCCTGCTTACATGTCAGTAATTGCATGATTTAACCAATGAAAGTGCTACCTGTTGATTTGTGCATCAATATTTTAGTACTACACAAAAGGCCCTAGCCAGCTTTGAACTCTTACATATCCTCCCTGCAAGCTACTCTCCCCACTGGTATGCATCAGAGGAGTAACTCAAAAGCTTCTGCTTTTAATGTTAATGCCAGAGCTCTCAACTCTAGCAATTCTAGATGTACATTCAAGTTTGGACATTTTAGAATCTGTACCCAAAGCTCTGGGGATTCCAAAAAAATTAAAGTATGTTTACTTCAAATTGGTCAGCATCAAATTGCGCTTGGTTATAAGTTTCTTGAGATCTGAATGTTCTAGGAAGAATAAATGGTCTATATTGTACAACAGATCATTCATTAGAGCAGCAGTTCTCAGTCTTTTTAGACCTATGGTTATATCAGGAATTTGCAAAAAGGCAGTGGGCACCACCAACAAAATGCCTAATCAATGAGTCAGATGCATTTGCATCTAGCTGGCATGTCTGTGGATTTTACAGTGCTTCTTCTTCACACACACACACACACACACACACACACACACACACACAAATTGTTTCATGCTGTTGGACACAGCAACATCTTTTTGATGAGGGGTGGCTTAATTCAATTAATTGCTGGGAATGCAATCCCACTAATGCTCATTTTAAAGATATGTTTTGGCAGTGTCCAGTGGTTGTGGTGATGTTCTTGCACAGATAAATGTCGTACTGGAACAGTTTTTAACATTTGCTGATATACATCCCCATTTAAATTATTTACCAGCTTCCTAGAAATTAACAAATAGCCAGCATAAATTGATTCTTTGCAACTTGTTGACAACTAAAGCACTGATATTACAAAATTACAATCCTATAATGTTACTAACTGAGGATCTGCCAACCTTTTGATAATTGTACCATTTATCAGTGGGTGGCATATAAATGCTACCTTCCAAAGGATACGTATTTAAACATTGGTCCATTTTTGTAAAAGCCTGTTGAATGCATATAGTATAAAACCATGTATATATTTAAAAGTCTGGCACATCCCTAAAGTATTGGACTGCAACTCCCATCATTTCCAGGCAGACTAGGAATGATTAACATTCTTAGCTATTGTGCTATGTCAACTTTGTTTACAGAAGCAGCTCAAAGAATTAGCTTCTTGTTCTATCTAGACTACTACATAAAGTATATTAGAAATATGTATTGGAAAAGGGAAAAAATCCTTTTTTCCATAGGAGAGGTATTCACTGTGAAATTGGTCACTGATTCAGTATAATAATGTGTCAGCTGAATAAAAGGCTTTTAAGGACAAACCTGCAGGAAAGTAGCTGGGCAGAATGAATTTCCATTACAAAGGAGTACATGTTTCCAAGACACTTGGATAGCATACTGATTTTAGCTGCTCATATTAACAGATGCATGTGGAATACCCATTGCCTGTTGTACGAGAGCTACCGACTGCTTTGGCCAGAAAGACCCCAAATGCCTGGCTTAAAGGGAAACCACCTTTGCAGGGCCCATCTGCAAGAACTTGAAGGCAGAATCCATTCTTGCAACTTGAGCAACAAAGGTTTCAGAATGTATGCAGAGCCCTGACAAGCCAAGGTTGCTGTCATTTGAAATACCAGTTGCAATTTTTTTCCAATACATCAGCTTAGGAACAGCTTAGGACTGAAGTTTGTACAAACCCTGCTGCTGCCTGCATCTGCATTTCCTTAGGAAAAACTAAAGAAGGATAGATTTGGTCTCCCTGAACTGTGCATTTTCTGGTTTTGTATAGCTTCAGAATGTGCATAAGATCCACCTGCTATAGTATTTGTCTTTGAGGGGTTATATCACAAAATCTGTTATGTCTTTACAGCTGCCTTGAAAATACGATGCAATTAATTCACCAAAATGAAAAGTAACTACAAAATTATATGGGATAAAGGGGTAGCTGAGTTGCCCTGATGCAAAAAAATAAAATTTAAAAAAAAATCCTGAGGTTTGTATTAAGCTTCCCAAGTAGATGGCTTCCCATGCTCTGTAGATGGCATCTGTTCCAAATCCCAACATCACTGACCATTGCTCATGGACCATGGGAATTGCCATCAGGTTAGGAGTGTAATTCAACAGTGCCTTGACTGCTCCTATAATGCAAGTCTGTATTGCCCCCTTACAAATTAGTACCCTATTTTTAACCTGAAACAAGCAAACAGACACTCCAGTTCTCTCACAGCTCCAGTTCCCTCACAGCTAAGAAAATCTCTGCCTGCTTGCAAGGAATTCTTGCTGACCATGGGCCACTAGGTTTTCAGGGTTCACAATGCTCTTCATTGTTTTTGCAATGGACTAATGCAGAGTAACAGACTAACAACAGACAGCCAGTGTGTTGTGGAACATTTGAAGCAGAGGTGCATGATGAGCACCATAGCAATGCTCAACCCCAAGGACAGCCCAAAATTGCAGGTGGCTGTGCTGACCACTACCATTCTAGGATTTTTCATCTGCCAGGAACAGGTCTTTTCCCAAGCAAATGGGTCACAATCACCCATTCCAAGCAAAGCCACTGCAAGCTAGTTTATGCTACAAAGGATAATATATTTTGCTGGGAAATTGATGTCCCCCAACTACTGTGAGGATTGCTGCTAAGGTCAGAGAAAGCAAAGAATTTGGGGTGCGGGGGTGCGGAGTGACAGATGCTCCCAGCGTCCCTGCTGATAAGAAAGTGTAGACATTGCATCCCTGCTTCCCCTGGGTACACTTCTTCACCGCAGACCAAGTAGCGGGGAAGTGCTTTCTTACACATCATGTAATACTTCATGGTAAAGAGAGGCTATTACAAATTCCACCCATGTCTTTTCTCTTCTCTCCATCCGCAGGCTTATCTGATCAGCTGCGTATGGAACTGCTACCGATACATTAATAACAGAAATAACTCCGATGTCCTGGTCTACATTACTACTAATGACACAGCGGTGAGCTGGTTGAAACTAAATGGGGTCTGATGGTTCCTTGGTTTGGAGGGCAGAGCCTGCTTCAGAGGTTGTAAAATGTGCTCCACCACTGAGCCACAGAAGGCAGTATGTAGTGACAGAGCCTCTGCTTTCTGAGCAGAAGGTCCAAGGTTCAGTCCCTGGCATCTCCAGGTACAGCTGGCAAAGAATCCTGCCTGAAATTTTGGAGAGGTGCTGCCAGTCAATGTTGACAACACTGGGCCGGGCTGGATGGACCAAGGGCTTGACTTGGTATAAGGCATCTTCCAGTGTTCCTCTGTGCCAAACGTCCCCACTGATGCAAAGAAAGCAACCTTTACCCTGGCACAGGTGCCTTTTCATAGATGTTCACCTGCCTGTGGAGACCAAATTGCCACTGAAAAGTTAAGACTGTTAGCCAGATCAGAAATATTTCCTCCACACAAGTATACATATATATCCCCTTGAAAAGAGTCAAGATAAATTCATGACATGTAGGGACTGCATGGACTATTAGCCACTGCTCCTAAAGGGAATGGCTATGTTCAGAGGTTGTATCCATGCTTCTGAATAGCATTTGTGGGGAATGTGGGGCATCCATTTCCCTTTCTGGTGGCATCTAGCTGACTACTGCAAGAAAAAGGATGCTGGCCCAAAGGCATCTTGCAATGAACATCATTGCAGTTCAGATGTACATATCTCCATTTGCCAAGACCCGCAAGAGTCTTGGGTCGTATCCAATTTTAGTCCTACTTAGACCAGATCCACTGAAATGAATGGGATATTATCTGGTTATGACCAGGTTCAAGCTTGTTCATTTCAATGGGTCTCTCCTATTTAGGACTAACTTTGGGTTTTACCACCTTGTACTCATGACTGCATTATTGTACCTTCCCCTTCCTTTCCCATGTCTAAGCACACTTCTCTTCAACATACATAGGTTAATCAATCTTCTGAATCCTAATTTTGCAAAGATGGATCCCAAGATTAGACAGGATCTTAAGCCAATTTAAAACCATAGTTTCAAATCCTGGATTGTTCTGATCATGGTAAACAGTTTCCAGATTCAGTGTAATGAGAAATGATTATTATTTTAACCCAAGAAGCAGCCCAAGGATGAAACAGGCAGTTTGCCTGTGTGTAAATTGGCAAAGTAAGTCAAAACTTATATAGCCAAACCATAGTGTAGCCACAGAGATGTTCCATCTGTATACTTTTATAATATCTGAACTGGGTTTGTGCCAAAAGAGTTTTCTCTAGTGGAAAATGAGAACCAATGTTTGACCCTCCCTTTCTCCTGCTTTCTCTAAGCCCCCTTCCACCCTGAAACTCTCCATCTGTTGTCTCTGGTATTTAAGAAGCCCTAGGCAAAGCAAATGCAACACAATGATGATACCCATCCAGATATGTTAATTTTCTGGCATATGATGTAGTAGTGTAATTAATTAAGAGCACTTTGTAATGAACTGTCCACACCCCACCATATTGGAAGTTTCCACCCACAGACTCTGCTCTGAATGAGGCTCTACACTCTATTTTCTTGGAGATACCTTCCTAATGAGTCCCAGATGATTTTGCTACAGCACAGTATATATTTCATGTGACTTCATCTTCTGTTAAATGTACGCTATCTGCTTAAAGAGAGCCCTTCAGTTCTTCGTAAAAGAAACAGAAAGCTTCTATAACGGACTGCCATAAACACAGGCACGCACACGCACACAAAGGCACACAGCAAATGTACAATCGTGTTCCTAGGAACACTTTGGCAGCACTGGGAATTCAGAGTTATAAATCATCTCAGGGCAGTCCAGCTTCCATCTGTAATTACTCCAGCATGGTTTCTAATGGAAATGCTCAAAGATAAACATTTAGGTTGCTTCCTGTTCAGATGAAGAGGGAGACACCCTGAAATTGACTTCTTGACAGATAATAATACATTAAGAAATGGTTCAACTGCACACAGCCAGTGTATTTCAAACAGAATGTCCAAACCATGTTCGACTTTGTGCAAAGCATGCACAAATGTTTGCATTGTAACAGAAGGCAGAAAGTAGACTGAGGACACCATCTTCTGCACAGCAAAGCATGGTGGCCCTGTGTGTTCATAGGTCCACCATGATGGCCATACATGCTACTCCAGATGATCACTAGCAGTTCCCAGGGGCATTCCATGCATGCAACGCTTTCTGCCCCCCACACATGGATGGACATTATTCCAGGTCAAGCTTGGTGTTTAGGTCATGAGTGTGAAGCCTTTCTGGACCTGAGGGCCACATGGAGTGGAATCAGGGGACCACACTTATGTGATGGTCCCCTGATTCCACACACAGAATCCTGGGGATTCCCTGGAGATTCCCTTGGTAGGACTTGCAAGAGAACCCCTGGTGTATCCCTTACTAGTGTGGAAACACCAGGAAGTGCCACCGTGGTGCAGATCCATGGGGAGGGGGTTTGATGGTGCTAATGGCTCAGCAGACCACATGTGTTCCACAGGCTGCAACACTTTTGGCACCCCTGTTATAGATGTTCTATAGACTAGCTGTGCAAAAGAGAGTGCTAGTTCTAGCACAGCACAAGGAGCTGCCTTTTTTACTGAGCCTTGCCCTGTCCATTGTAATCAACCGTGCTGCTCCAGGCTCTCTGCCAGAGGCCTCTTCCAGTCCTGCTGTTGGACCATAGCAATACTGGTACAGCATATGCTGTGCATGTAGAAGGGCACCTTGGGGATCCCTCTGAACTGAAAGACAGGATGAAGGACAAAGAAAGAATGACATGATGCCAGCTAAGTCCATTCAAATGCCGAACGTCAAAGCACACTGTAGATCTCAAGTGGACCTTGTTCTGGCTACATACTGTCTTAGGGGTATGTGCAGAATTTGATTTAATGGATTCTTAAATGACTTGTTATCCTTGTGGTATTACATTATTGGTGTAATTCTAAATAGACAAATGGAGGGTGCATGCAAACCTTTTCCAGGCTCATTTATTTCCTGTTCCACTCACTCATGCTGCAGTTAATTGACTGGGCAGGCTGTAGCAGTAAATGCATTGTTCAATTTTGCCTGGCAAAAGAGCAGAGAAAATACCTCTATCGCCCTTCTCTGTGTCTCATAGTTCCCATTGTATGATGTAGCAGTTCCACAACTGTGTATAATTCTGGGTGGTCTTTAGTATGTGTGTGTGTGTAGACACAGATACATCATGACAAAGCTTTGGGTGGGGGCGCGGGAGACTTAAGCAGGTGGCCAGTTCATTGACCTGGCAGTTTGCTTTATTACAATTCTTGGCTGGAAAAAACATAGGTCTGCCACTGTTGCTAATTGTACTTCACAGCTGGACTGGTGTAGAAGGAATGTCTCCTGGGACAAAACAATAGGAGGCCCAAAGAAACAGATGTCTGATCAATAAAAACTAATGTGCAATGTTGTTTGGACAAAATCCATCTGTCAGAACACACGTCCTACACTTTGTTGTGTTCAGGGCTTAGGTAGCTAAGACAGGAAGCACGAACTCTTGTGTTCCACTTCAGCTCTGGAATTGCCCCTGCACTAAGGTGTGTTTAAGGGGGCAGGTTTGAACATTCCTTTGGATAATTAACAGCCTAACTGGGCAGCAGCTAAATCTAATTCTGCAGTTAAAAGTGTGGAAGCAGCGATCCTGTGACTTCTATTGACTCACTGCTTCAGGGATGCTAAAGGCAGGGCAGCTAAAGCCTCTTACTCCCCTCCCACCACCCACACCCACACCCACACACTCACTCTCACTCACTCACTCACTCACACTCAGTGATCCTAATTTGGGTTGTTGCTTCCCTGCCACCATTAGCAATGAAGAAACAATGATCCCAAATCTTCTAGGCTGCCACCCCAACTGGGATTGTTGTCCTGCCACTGCTAATTAGCAGTGCTAGCACAGTAATTCCCTGCAGCCCGTTTCATTAGCTTGATGGGCTTCCAAAATTGCCCTGAGCCGCTTAAAGAGCACAATACAGGTTACACGTTACCGAGTCCTGGGCAAATTTCCCTCAGAGAGTGTTATGAAGTCAAGATGGGGAAGCACAGTGCACGCTTCCTTCAACTTCTCGAAGAACAAAGGGTAGTATGTATGTGGGATGGAAGATGTGGGATGAATAGATATAAGTTTTTATAGACTTCAGTTTTGAAATTTTCAAAATGAGAGTTTGTTTTTCTTCCTCTTCAGGTGCTGTTGCCACCTTATGATGATCCTGCAAACGGCACTGCCAAAGATCCACCCCCACCCTATGTGTCTGCATAAGCACCTTTCTGAAACGTCCTAAGAACAAATAGCTTTACCTGTCACACCTGAGCAATAGATCCTTTCGTTTTCAAGGTGGATGTATAACCTCCCAGTTTTAAGTATTCCTGTTTTTCTGTAGACTTATTATTTGTTAAAATGCAGCTTGTCTAAAGCAGCATCAAATTGGCTTGTGAACCATCTTGATTTAGCTAAGATTGCAGTTGTTTCTCTTCTCATAGCTTCTCCTGCAAATCTTGAATATGTGTACTTTATATACCCAGAAACTGTATAGTGTGGAATTCATGTTTTATTTAATCTTCAGAGTTTCCATATTCATTAGAAGAATTTCCTGAAATTTCCTTCAGGCCTCTGGTTGTAGCAGAGGGTTGGACTGAGACTTGCCCTTCCACAAATGGAAGAGAGCTTTCCATGCATGGAAAGCACAAACTGAAATCCAGCAGTTTCCCTGCAGGACGGAATTTTTCCAGTTCCCCCTTTTCTCCTGGGAACTTCTGCAGTCCCACCTTCCACACTATTCCAGGGAGTTGCCCAGTCCTCTGAAGCAACTTTTTAGGAGGCTGCAGCAGGAGCCTAGAATTCCTTACTCTGGCAGGAATGTCTGTGGAAAGTCTGGATCCAACTCATAGTTGGATGAAAAAAGAAGCTTGTATTCCATTGCATTTATAGTCTACCTTTTCACTCTTGCAAGGAACCAAAGGGACTTAATGGTTCTCCTTCACCCTGTTTTTATCCTTACAACATCAGTGCTGTGAGATAGGCTGAGAGTCAGTGACTGGCCCAAAGTCACCCAGTGAGCTTCATGACCAAGTGGGTAGCAGAACCCAGATTTCCAGTCCAACACTCTAACCACCATATTGGAACAGCTCCCCATAAGATAACTTCATATTCATGTTATACAATAAATATTCAATTTTCTTTTTAAAAGCATAAATAAAAAGTAGTATTTTGAGCTAAGTTATCCTATCAGGGACTATTAGGAGCCATTTAAACATGGTTCTTTGGTGCATTAATAAAAGGTTATGTCTTCAGAACTCAAGCTTCACAAGAGTAAGGAACTACCCAAAAGTTTGAAGAAACAAATGCTCACTACTGTATGACAGAAGTATATTTAAAACATAAATTTATATCATTCATAGAAGTCAGGCTTCTGTGATCCCTATTGTAGATTAGTTCCATATCCTATGAACACGTACTCTATTTTCATCTTGAGGCTAACTTATTTATTTTTACGGTGGCACTCTTCTGGTGGTGTCCTTCACCAGCTTGAATAATCCCATCCAGAAATTACAAACAATGGGAACAAGCCACTTTTAATATTCCATCAATTTTAAGGGAACTTAAACAAGGTCTTCAATCGCTCGCCTTGAAATTGATGATAACTTTTTAAATGCTTAATATTGTACGGTTTGTTGTGCCCCATGCGATTTAGAATCATACTATATATTATTTTGAGTCATTTGTTGTAGTAAATAAATACCTCTTAAGTATCCAAAATGTGAGCATTTTTCCATGGAAACTTGCTTGTAAATATAGCAGTCTGGGGACTATACACTAGCTACAGTAAATTCTTTCTTCCAGATGGAGCCTTCAACTCAAAGTTCTATGTTCATGACTGACCAATGTGTCTATATCCTGCTATCTGCTTTGGTGTAAGAATATTACACCCTTTTGTTTGCACTTGAAATAATTCCAGTTGCATTCATTTGTTACTGTCCAGGCATGTTAATAATAATGGTAATAATACTAATATTTTACACTTATTTGGTACTGTCCAATCACTTCATATCCATTATTATGTAACCTTACAGCAATTCTGTAAAGTCGTTCAGTATTATTATCTCCAAATTGCAGTTGCTACTGTGAGGCTCAGACTGCAAGTTGCTTGCCAGTGGCTACCTGGTGAATTCAGACCATAGCCAAAATCCAAACCAGGCTCCTGATTTGTAGCTCAGTCTCTTTATGGCCAAGTATGCTTAGCCTGGCCATTTTTATTTTGGAGATAAAGCAAGCACAGGGCTCCAGCTCTGGATTGAGGAGAACACCACAATCTTCTGCTGAAACTAAATTGTCCTGTCTGCTTTTTTGCCACCCAAAGCCAGGTAAGAGATGATCATCATATAAAAATATAAAGGCAGCAACTTCCTCCCGGTCCAGGCTGAGAGCCTCCAACTTTTTTTGCTCCAAAATACAACCTGTCAAGGTAAGCACGTTTGTTTAAACCCTTGACTAAGGTCATATATAGCTGGCATGCACCACTACATGACACCAGCTCTCCTGTTTTTAGAAGTATATGAAATCCAAAGAATATAGTGGATTGATACTAGATTCAGTCATCCTTTGAGTAGACTCATTGCAATCAATGGATATATTTGTCACAACTAACGTAAGTCCTATTAATATTAATTTCTCTATAGAAAGTTTAATTCTGGATTCAACCCATTATCTTTTGCACATATAGATGTACGCTTGATTTTTTGCCTAACATGTATGATGCAAAAAGATGGGTTTATACTTCTTGTTTCTTAAAAACCCATTTCCTCTCACTTTTTGGCCAGTGGAGGAGTTGGGTTTGCAAACAGTACCAGCCTGAAACATTGTGACACTAAACGTGAGAAATGCTGAATTATACCCTGATCAGCCCTTGGGATTGAAAGGGTTGCATTTTATGATATAAAGAGGATAAAGATGAGACAAGGTTTGCTAGTTGAAGTAACTATAATATTGCTTCTCCTTCACATTACCTTCCATTTATTTTCTTTGTAAGTTCCACAGTTCTTCAAAAGGGGTTGTGTTCTGGGGTTTGGCAAAATGGTCAAGTGGGGAATCATTGAGACACTGGAAGCAAAGGGACCCCTTTTTTCTTCCTTGGGTAACGAAAAAGGATATGTAATATGGGCAGGGAACAGCTGTGGATGCCCATATATACAGTGCAGGTTTTATGCTCACTTTCTACTAGACAGGAATGTGGCCAAGATAAGTTGCTAAAGTCAGTGTATCACTTTCTCACTGGGTAACGTATATTGGCTTGTTTTACTTTGTTTGTTTTGTAAGGCAACATGTATTCTAAGGTACACGGTGCAGCCACATGCTGTTCTAGAATTTTCTTTAGCTTTGGTTTGCCTGGGCAGGATATTGTACTATGCATTTGTTTTGTTTAATGATATAATTTTGTGGAATTTTTAAACATCTGTATAAAAGTAAGTGTGTGTACATATTTCTCATTCAAATCTTCTGTGCAAACAAAATTATCTCTAATAAAAGGGATATTTCCACATGCTTGCATAACATTCTTTCTCATTCCACTAATGAGCTTTTTAAAATACAAATTCTGATTTGACTCTGCCATTTGTGCATTTGTGATTTAGATGTACATCTTTACAAAGTCCTCACTGCTACTTCAGACACAGCTTTTCCTTATATACAGTGGTACCTTGGCTCACAAACTTAATCCATTCCAGGACTCTGGTCATGATCCAAATTGGTCGTGAGCCAAGTCAAATTTCCCCATAAGGCTCAGTGTTAATAAGGTAAAAACTATTCTGTAACTATTATGTTTTTACTCACAAAAATTTGAAGCAAAGTGATAAAGAACAAAGATGGCGGCCATCTCCCTCCCCCCCCCCCCGCGGTTTGGTTTTTGGGGGGGGGGGGCCAGGTTGGGGGGGGCCCGGGGGGGGGGGGACTGGCGTGATTGCGGGTGCGCTCAGGGGAGACGGGTGCAATCGCAAGTGCGCCAGCGGGGGGGAAGACGGGCGCAATCACAATCGTCACCTGATGTGGAGTTCGTGACTTGCAGCAAAATTTTTATGAAATTTCTGTTTGTGACCTGATTTGGTCATGAACTGAGGCATTCGTGAGCCGAGGTACCACTGTACTGCAAGAGTAAAGAGGAAAAACCAAGCAGGAAAATTTGACATATTGCAGTCAACAGAAGGCCCTTTTGCAGCCTTCCCCAAGCTAGTTGGTACAATCCAGAAATTCTGGGGTTATAGTCTAAAATAACTGGACAGCACCATAAGAACATGAGAAGAGTCATGTTTGATTAGACCAAAGGTCCATCTAGTCCATACAACCAGCTGCCGCCAGGAAACCCATGAACAGGACATGAGAGCTGCCCGTATTCCTCAGCAACTGGTATAAATAATTGCCCCTTATGCCAGAGGGAATATATAACCATCAAGACTAGTAGACACTAATGACCTTCTCCATGAATTTGCTCAAATGCCTTCTGAAGCCAGCCAAAGTGGTGGCCATCACTACATCTTGTGAGATGCATGATTTGTTTTTACACTAGGTGGACAAATATTTCCTTTTACCTGTCCACAGTGTCACATCAGTAAGCTACATAGGATGACCCCAGGGTCTACTATGATGAGAAAAATGTCTCCCCACATTTCTCCAGGTTGGGGAGAGCTGATAAATCAGCATAACAGTATACACCTCATAAGGGGCATCAGAAATCAATGAATGATTAACAGCAGTTGTAACGGTGTAGAAGAGTTCTTGCCAAATCCAAATTTTCTCCGATATTCACAGTTATGTTTGGTGGTGGTGTTACAGCCCCCATATCCTCTTTATAATGCCCTAGAATGAGACAAGGTCCAGGGCTTTCTGGAGAATGACCCGGTTGCAGACCAAGTTGCTGCTGCCAATTGCAATGGTAGCTACATGGGTGGGTGGGTGGGTGGCTGGGTGGGGGAAAATGCCCTCGGCATTGCTAATTGAGTGCCACCCTTAGTAAATACTTCCGCCCCCTATAGAAAACTAGTGAAATGGTCCAAACCCCCCCAGCACATTTTTTCTAACCATGAACAGACTGAAGAATTTTGAAAGGCAGTTTGTGCAGAGTTCTAGCTCCTTCTGGTTTCTGCATCCCAAGTCTTCTTTCAGATGGTCTCTGAATCAGACAGGCAGCTGATCGCACACATTTAACACTGACAAGACATAATGCGAATAAATTGCACCATAAGTCAAAATCCTAAATCCTAAAATTATCCACTGAAGCTTCCAGACTATCTTTAACAGCAGCCCCACCTAAAATGACCCTCACAGAAATGAAGGCAAAAGGCTTGCTTCTTTTGTTT